GTTAAGGCTTGGACCCGTTTCTCTTAAAAGCGCTTTCGTCAGCTTCACTTCTGGGCATTTCTTCACACATAATTTTACCTGTTTTCTTTTTTTAGTGATAATTTTTACCCATTTTTAGATCCTATTCAAATTTGGTTCCACCCATTGATCCGGCTTCCTTGCTTTTTCCAAATAATGTGTTCCTTATATTTCTGCGTCAATTTTGTAAGTGGAATAATAGGACCACTACAATTTTGCCGAAAACTTCAAATGCGTGCACGCTAGTTAAGTAACTGGGAAGGCTGTTTATTATGGAAAGCGTTACTTTGTGATGTCATTATCATAATGTAAATGAATGCAGAAAGAAGGCCCACTCGTCATTTAACTTTAAGGATTAATATATAATTTTTACTCTTTCAAGTTTGTCTTATTTTCTAGTTTTAAATTATAGATTTTGATTACTCAATTTTTTTCATATAAAATATTGGTTTTCATAATTCAATAAAAGGTTAATGTGACTTTTAGTCTCTCTATTCACATTTTGATTTTAGTCCATTAATTTTTATTTATTTTAAACATTAATATCTATGATTTAATAAAAATTTGAATCATTTTTTCTTTTAAGTTTAAAAGATCAAAACCTATTACTTGAAATTTACGAGATTAAAATCAAAATGAAGGCAAGCTAAACTTAAACCACTTTACCATTTTAGAGATAAAAACTTACTGTTTGAAATTTGGGAAATCAAAACCAAAATAAGAATAAACTTCAAATATCAAAGATTATATTGGCTCATATGATAAAAAACACATAATAAAGAGCCATATTATTTTGACTTTGATTCCATTTTGGAGAATCACTCAATAATAAAGGGAAAAAGTGAAGGCAAACAAGTGCTTTTCCTTACACTGAGGTCTCCATCTTTCATAGAGTCATCTAGCAACAGTATTCATGGCAACAATCACATGGTTGTGGTGTAAAATAATAAAAAACATCAAGTAACAGGTTGTTAATAGAGTTACTTAAGGGGAAAATTGCAAATAAAAACCCTCTAATATATAAAATAGCAATGAGGGACCCTGAATTTAAAAAATAGCTGGAAAGGACCTTGAATTTCTCTCTCTCACCCACGATGATGAAGACGATGAGGCTCGTTATTAATCACCTAGAAGTTGCTTCTCGCTGAAAACAAAAAACCCAAAAATCCAACTTTAATCCATTTAATGCTTCTCTTAACTTTAATTAGGCCAATGATAAGTTAAGTAATGCCAATGATAAGTTCTGATAAGGTTTCTTACAACTTTACAATTAAATTCTATTGAAATGACAATTTGTAGATTTCTTTAACGGTAAGCACTTCTGATATAGGATTCATGACAAGTTCAGTGAGGCTAATGACGAGTTAAGTAAGGCCAATAACAAATTCCAATAAGGTTTTCGTACAACTTTAAATTTCTCAATTGAAATGAGAATTTGCATATTTCTTTGACAGCAAGCACTTCTGATATAAAATTCACGACGATTTCAGTTAGGCCAATGACAAGTTCCAATAAGGTTTTCATACAACTTTAAATTTTTCTGTTGAAATGAAAACTTGCATATTTCTTTGACAGTAAGCACTTCTGATATAGGATTCATGACGATTTCAGTTAGGCCAATGACGAGTTAAGTAAGGCCAATGACAAGTTTTGATAAGGTTTTTGTACAACTTTAAATTTCTCTGTTGAAATGAGAACTTGCATATTTCTTTGACAGCAAGCACTTCTAATATAAGATTCATGGCGATTTCAACTAGGCCAATGACAAGTTAAGTAAAGCCAATGACAAGCTCCAATAAGGTTTTTGTACAATTTCAAATTTCTCTATTGAAATGAGAACTTGCATATTTCTTTGACAGCAAGCACTTCTGATATAAGATTCATGACGATTTCAGTTAGGCCAATGACAAGTTTCGATAAGGTTTTCGTACAACTTTAAATTTCTTTGTTAAAATGAGAACTTGCATATTTCTTTGACAGCAAGCACTTTTGATATAAGATTCATGACAATTTCAGTTAGGCCAATGACAAGTTAAGCAAGGCCAATGACAAGCTCCGATAAGGTTTTCGTACAACTTTAAATTTCTCTGCTGAAATGAGAATTTGCATATTTTTTTGACAGCAAGTGCTTCTGATATATGATTCATGACAATTTCAGTTAGGCCAATAACAAGTTAAGTAAGGCCAATGACAAGTTCCGATAAGGTTTTTGTACAATTTTAAATTTTTCTGTTGAAATGAGAACTTGCATATTTCTTTAACAACAAGCACTTCTGATATAAGATTCATGACAATTTCAGTTAGGCCAATGACAAGTTAAATAAGGCCAATGACAAGTTTCGATAAGGTTTTCGTACAACTTTAAATTTTTCTGTTGAAATGAGAATCTGCACGTTTCTTTGACAGCAAGTACTTCTGATATAGGATTCATGACAAGTTCACTTAGACCAATGACAAGTTTCGATAATTTTTTGTACAACTTTAAATTTCTCTGTTGAAATGAGAATTTGTATATTTCTTTGATAGCAAGCACTTCTGATATAAGATTCATGACAAGTTCAGTTAGGCTAATACAAGTTAAGTAAGGCCAATGACAAGTTCCGAAGAATTTGCAAATTTATTTGACAGCAAGGACTTCTAATATAGGATTCATGACAAGTTCAGTTAGGCGAATGATAAGTTAAGTAAGGTCAATAACATGGTCCGATAAGGTTTTCGTACAATTTTAAATTTTTCTATTGAAATGAGAATTTAAATAGCTCTACAATGTTGCTATATATATGTTGTGAAGATTGAGGTTCAATCCAGAGCATCCATATAGTGGGCACAAAGTTATAATGAGAATCAAAATGACATCAAGACTAATCTCCCCTCTTATTTTATCACAATGTTGCTCCTAATCAACTTACATTCAAATGCTAAATAGGTGACTTACCATTTCCATTCAGTATAAATATCATTAGTTGATCCTATATAATAGTTCCTACTTCTCAACTATCCATAGAAGGGGGGTTTGTGACGATGGATCCTTGTTCCTAATATCATTAGGTGGCATACTATTACTCGCGATCGAGTGAATGAATCGTGTCCTTTAGTTACTGCCCACAGCTCATAATCAAAGTTATGAGAAGCATTAAATGGATATTGGGTTTTTGTTTTCAGCAAGAAGCAACTTCTAGGTGATTAATAACGAGCCTCATCATTTTCATCATTGTGGGTGAGAGAGAGAAAGAGAGAGGAATCTAGTGAGAGAGATGGTGAATGCAATTAAAGTTTTAGAAGGTGGGTTTGTGAGGATGGAACAGATGAAAATGGAGATCGCAAAAGAAATTGAGAGAGATGGATATAGGAATAGAATATGAAGAGCAGAAGGATGTTTTTGTCTTTTAACCAAGATTTCATATTTGCAATTTGAGACTCGGTCCTTTCCAGCTATTTTTCAAATTCAGGGTCCCTCATTGCTATTTTATATATATGAGAGTCTTTATTTGCAATTTTTCCTTACTTAAATGCACGCGCAACTTCAGAAATTCAGTTTCCCAACAAATACAAATTATTTCGTAGCGTCCCAGGACTTCATTCCCTCCACTCTTGAAGCGATATCAGCATCATATCTTGTTTCCCCATGCTATTACACAAGAAAGGCTTGCTTTTTATTTTTATTTACCGTTCGTTCTTAATTTATTTAACATTAGGAAGGAAAAGTAGGCGGCAAAAATACATTCTTATTGCTAATTTTATTTAACATCTCAGTTTTTCACTTATTTTATCTGATTTCAATCTATTACTTTAATGAGAAATGGGAAGTCAGGTCAAACTGATTGGGTGCAGTTAGGACCAAGAAGTTTTTGGGCCAGTGGCAAAAAAGCCTGAGTCTGTTCCTTTGTTGGCCCACAAGAAAATACTGAGGCGCCGGCATTAGCCCAAAACACGCTTGCAGCGGAGAATTTTTATAAAGAATGACAGCTGTGGGATTTGAACCCACGCCCTTTCGGACCAGAGCCTAAATCTGGCGCCTTAGACCACTCGGCCAAACTGTCATTCACATGCTAACGGATGATCTAAAATTTATATATCAAGTAAACATGTGCGCGTTGCTTTTCCCAATTCCCACTTCACCCGTTTATTTTGCAACGGCGGAACATAGATCGTTATATCATGCTTCAAAATCCTACACCTGCGTGATAATTAATGTTACTTCACTGCTTCTTAATTTAAAATATATGCAATTAATTTAATTCAGTTAAAAAATTAGTTAACCTACTTAATTATTACTAGTATAACATATTTTTTCTGAACTACCCTTATTTAAATTTTTTAAAAAAAATGAGGCATTTGAAAGAAAAAATGTAAAAACAAAAATAGCAGAATTGATGTGTGTGGCATTAATGAACAGCACAAATTACTGAAATGTATGGGTGTATTATTATATTTAGTTAACACTGAGGAAGCATTGATAGAGATAATTTGAGAAATGCATCAATAGTTATCCCCATGTTCAAATAAATTACCGATTCATATGTAAGATTATTCAAATGCATCCGTTTAAGGCGAGGGAATTACAAGAGGAGTCTCGGACTCTTAGGTCATGATATGATGATTTCCAGGCGCAGTCAAATCTGCACCCCCTTGTGGCCCACCCCACGTCGCCCGACGAAAGCGGCTCAAATCCACAATCACGAACCTTTTCAGCAGAAGACCAATGGTGATTGGGTCGACTCTGTTTCTTTGTCCAACAATTAAATTACACAGTTTTACCAATGAAAATTGAGTCTAACTGAAAGGGGTTAGTTTTTACGACGTGACTAACTAATGTTTGAATTATCATTAGTTCAGCTAAAAAAAAAATGCACAGTTTTTTCTTTTTCAATTATAGGGGCAGAGATTACGAACGGATCTGGCTAATGACCTTCTATTTAGGAGATTTTTCATTGCAAGCTCATGGACAAATTACTCACATTTGTTGAGACATCGGCTGAGAATTTTCAGAATCAGACTCAGACTCACTTTTATTATTAACTTCTAAGAAATTACATTCTCGGGCATTAGAAATAATGGCCATAGCCATATCAACTCATCGATAACCCAGGAAGGATACAGCTGTTTTTCTTCTCTTGCACCAGGAGGGGGAAAAAACGAATCTCCATAAATTTAGAAAAGAAAAGGATTATGGACAGCTCGTACTTATTCACTGAACAAATTTGCCGTTTAGGAGATTAAGCATTACACAGAGCTGATTTACGACCAGAAATGCATTCTGGTAAGTATTCCTTAATGATATTAGTATTAGAAGGCGGTGGTATGAAATTAGAGAAGAAGTCTGGATCCTCCTTCAGGGATTCTGAATAGCCCTCCAAGATGGAAACTATCTCATCGAAGTGCGGCCGTTTATGTGGATTGGCTGCCCAGCATCTGGTGACCAGACAACTGAACGCCAGTGGACATTCAGGTGGCAATGGTGGCCTTGCATTCTGCACAAAACCCACCAAGTGTTTTTGCATCAGAAATGGGAAAACGCATACAAATGAACACACCCTGTTCTACTTGATCAGAAACCAATCTAAATTAAATGAATTTTTCCTAACTAATCAGTGATTCATTCAACTGTGTATCAATATGCATCGTCCAGATGTTCTGTATCAGTGTGAGAGAAAATGAGTCAGAGGAGTGGGAGTACATCAACAATCATTGATTTGGATAACTGGTATAGCAGATGTCAATAATCTTATGAGTTGTAAGAATCATTTATATGTCAGCCAAAACAGATTAGCATCTGCCCATATTGCATATCAATCTTGTAGTAGGGGTATCACAAACAGGTCCACGTGCTGGTAAAGATCATGCACAATGATGGCCAATTTTTCTTTTTGAAAACAACTCACTAACACGTATACACGTACCGTAACGACATTACATGGACATTCACGCAATATTTTTTGTTTTATACAAACATACGCATAAAAAGGCAAACTGCCGAACCAGATAGTGCCATTATACTCAACATACATCTCCATACTAACTGAACATCCTTTCCTGAACATCCTGTCCCTAAAAATTCTATCCGATTAACTTATAATCCTAACTGATATCATTATTGTAATTATGATAGCTACAGTCCCTTCCATACTAAATCCAGTGCTGGCTAGCAGCAAGAAGCGCGACTACTATTTCTCACAATAATAGTACCTGTTACACTAGCCAGATTCCAGGATAGGTCAACAATTTTGATACAATACCTTTTGGGAAGCCGCAAATGCTGCCTGCTCTGGTGTCATGTTCTCATATGGTGTCAATGCTGTTAAAAGCTCCCATAGAACTATGCCAAAACTGTAGACATCTGCTTTCTTGGTATGATTCTTATCTCTCAACATTTCAGGTGCCATCCAACGATAAGTTCCAGTAAATTCATTAGTAGTAAAGCTCTCAGATTCTTGGCATGAGATTCCAAAGTCTGCAACTTTTACACGCATATCTCCTCCCAGCAGAAGGTTTTCTGATTTGAGATCCCTATGAAGTATCCCCTGAGAATGAAGATATTGCATACCCCGTGCAATGTCGAGGGCTAATTTCAGAACAATTTTGGGTGGGAGTGAATAGGGATTTTGGTTCCGCAGGTACCTCCTCAGCGACCCCCCTGGCATATATTCAGTAATTATGCAGAAAACAGGAGGTTTCTTGCAAGCGGCAACAAGCTGCAGGACTGACACAAGTCAATAGCTGCTAGAAATGTACAATTTCTCTCATATCAAAGCATGAAGCCTTCTCTTCTCTTTTAAGAAAAAATAACTCAGCGTAGACTGCTTTCAGTCAGCACTCATATAATAGGTTTTCGAAACAAGTAATGAAATCACCAACCAAAACTCCGATTTCAGTTAGTACTTAACCAAGTTTGTTAATTTAACAGCAATAACATCCGTAAGAGTCTGAACAGTGAGAACTACACGGATAAGGACATTCTGGGGACCTACCAAATCACAGTTTACGACAACGCAAGAAGCAATAAGATAAATCAATGATGAATCTCAGCTCTGTTCAATTTGGCACCAACAGTATCGGCTTTGCAAGAACTTCTCTAGCACCATCTATGGGAATAGGAGGAACAAAAGAAGTAAAATTCATATTTGTCTCTGCGGATAACTAGTCGAATTTTTTTCCCTTTTTGGTTGAGATATTTTACAGTCCCAAGCAGATACATAACTTTGGACAAAAGAATCAAAGTCAGTAGATGCAGAGGAATTTCAGGAAGCAGTGCTTTACCTTCAGGATATTCGGATGGTGCAATCGGAAGAGCACGGCAACCTCAGAATTAAACTGCCTCTCTAGCAAAGAAGCCAAGTCTTCGTCCTCCTCCGGCAGACTTGCCAACTTAATTGCCACTTCGGTGTTCTTGTATACACCTTTATAGATCCTACTATGACTGCCAATAGCAAATTTAGCGCCAATGAGCAACCTGGACAAGTCGGCGCTCCAATCCTCCTCTCCATCTTCCTTTATTGCAGCCCCAGGGGAGACCAGATACTTGGACCACGACACTGCTCGCTTGTATTCGCCAAGAGAAAGCCGTCTCCCAATTTTCTGGTTGAGCGGAACTTGTTTAGACCAGCAAAAATTCCTCATGGAATCGGAGTTAGTTCTTTTCAGAATCACCCAGGTTCAATTCAACCCCTAAGATGAACCCAATGCAGATCCAAAAGAAAAATAAATAAATATATATATGAAGGGGGGAAAAAAGGTCTAAAATGCCTAGAACTCTTGATTTTGATGGCTTAAACTGTTGCTAACAGACTACATTTTAATGCTTCTTCTGATGCCTGCAATAGCAACAGGGACCAAAACCATAAATCAACTCTAACTTTCCTCTTAATGTCCTGTAACTGCATAAACGATAATAAGGTAATTCATATTCACGGACCAAATCGGCTAAGTTTTCCAAAAGGTGTGAAGGGAGAGTCTACAATTTTCGGGGAAAGCAGAAAAACAGAAATTTGGGTCATTTCTGATAAGAATGGAATTGAGAAAGGCTTACCTTCTGGGGGCTAGAACGGTGAATTAATTTGAAAAAAATAAGAAGCGAAAAGCAGGGACAGCAAAGGTATGGCGTCGTTAAATTTGAAAGCGGGAGTGTAGAAGAAGAAGAAGAGAATGGGTTGGAGGAGAAGCGGGTGAAGAAGATGATGGCCTAGAAATTCAAGGAAGCAGAGAAAACAAATGCAAAACAGAAAAATCAGAGAAGGAAATTCCGCGGGGGTCTGAGGAGCTAATTACACAGTACCCACACACTCCTGTACGCTGCGGAGTAACATGCCAAGATCCTCCGCTAAGCAGACAAACCGGGTCTGCCTGATAGGGACCTTCCTCCTTCTTTTTCTCTTTCTCCTTCTCTTTGTCCTCTATTTCCCTCAATGCCATTTTACCGCGTTCTTAATAAACTATGGGACATCACCATATTGCATGTTTAGCAATATCATGAGAAGGAATGAAGGATTGGTATACAGTTTATTTTACCCATTTTAGGATTTTTTTTGGCCTATATATATATGTGCATATGATTTTTTTTATACTCCTGTGATGCATGGACCGTTTACTGGTTAATGAGGTTGAAATAGTAGTTATTGAGTAAGGTGAAGATGCACACTGGAGTAATAATAAAATACCTCTCAGAATGTTGCAGCCAGGCTTGGAAGGAGAACGCAAATCACGGCACCGCGGGGTAAGAGAGTAAAGCACGAGAGACTGGGTTTCGGGTAACGGGCCAGCGTGGGACCTTCCACATGCATCGATGATTTATGTTTCTTCAATGATTATATTTTTATTTTTTATTTTTTAAACAAATTATTTATTTTTTTTATTTTACCTTATACGCTTTTAAGTGAAATAATTTATTTTTTATTTACTTAGTTAAAAATAATTATGAATATGTGATGTTTTAGGCTACTTTTATTTAATTAGATATGTTTTTAATGTCAAAAAAATTATTTAAGATAGGTGGATAGTAATTTTTTTCATTTTGAATATAAAAAAATTGAACTTCGAATTGCTATTTTTTTTAGCCTGACAACATAAAATTCTTAGTAGCTAATGACACAGCTGGAGATTGTAAGACTAATTTATTTAGTTTTATATGCCATTTTAAAAATAAAAAAAATATTTCCCCTGCTGGCTCAAGGTCCTCGGTTTGCCCCGTATCTTAACCATACACGTCCTACCGTTGTTTTCAGAAACTATCACTTTTTCCCCATCAGCAGTCAAAGGTGGTCAAACATTAGGTCGCATGTCATGGTTTTGTATTTTGATTGTGCTTTATATTGTGCATTTGATGAGTTGAAGTCATGTTTAGAATTATCTTTAAAATCACTTATAAACATGTTTATGTAAGTTAAGATAAAAATTTTCTTATATACCTATTTTGTATTTCTTAAATTATAATTAAAAAGTTACTTTTTTAGTCCTATTTATAAGGCAAAGAGAGAAATTTTTTCTTGGTCCTATTTATAAATCATTTTATTAAAATTTTAGTGTAAATGTGTTATTTTATCCTTAATTTATTATAGTGTGGATGATTTTTTTTAGAGGTGTATATATTAAATAGGGGTAAAGTTAGAAAGTTATTATATTTTAATAGAAAGTTAATGCAATTTAAGATTTTTCTTGATCTGTATGAAATATGTTAAAAATATTTTATAAATAGAAGTAGAGGAGTATTTATAAGTCATTTGGAACGGGTAAAAAACCCTTCTCCTTTCTCATTAACTTTTTAACTAAACGAAGATTGCAACATGTAAGCTAGTAAAAAAAATTTACTTAAATACGGATCTCTCAAGTTTTTATGGCCATAAAAAAATGATGAGTGGAATATAATAATTGTTTTTTTATTATAGTTTATGTGAGCTTGGTTTTGGAGACTCATTAGGGTCAAGACATATCTTCATACTTAGAATGAGCTTACACAAGTACTTATAAATTATCTACTAATAAGGTTTTTAATTGGTAGTAGGATACAAATTTATGACCTTATAAGTTATAAGCAAATTTCTTACTAGCTGGACCAATCTTATGAGCATAATAATTTTTTTTTTGGGGTGAAATAAAAGACAAAATTCTTTTTGGGAGGGGGGGGGGGGTAAATGAGTTCCAAAGGAATGATTGGGCAAAGGTTGCTTTTATGTGTGGGAATGCCATTTGGGAAAGTGACAATTTAGCAAATGCTGCATGTCCTGTTTGTATGTAACATCTGCCTTGAACATTGACTCCCCCAATGAAAATGAAAGCTAACTAAGTTTTAATTTAAATATAATAATTATATACTACTTTTTATTATTAATAATATAACAAGCCTTGTTCCATGGCAAAAAAAAAAAAGGAACCTCCTTTTATAGACGAATAAAGTTAGTCTTCAATTAGATTACTCGTTTTCAATATTTATATTTTTTTTAGAATAAAATGTCGTGACAGCTTGACAGCCTTGAATTTTATTTAAGTTAAAAAATTATTTTATTGCGATTCTTAACACCCAGTTCAAATATACAAAACAGTGTGAAGCGATTATTGCTCTCTATTGGAATTTAAAATCATTGCATTTTTTTTCTGGTTTGAAATAGAATCTTAATGCAAAAGGGGAAGAAAAGAAAAGCAAAACATGGGCAATAAATAAATGCTTATTAGAGTTGGTAGAAGACAAATTTTCAAATACGCTGGGTTAAAACCATTAAGTAAACTGGGTGAAGATTGAGGTTTTCGTTGGAAAGTGAAAACGAAATTCAAAACTGACGAGAAAGAACTTAATTAGGAATTTGAATAATTTCGTAACAAACTTAGAAATGTCTTATTAAATAATAATGAGGGAGAGAGCGCATGAGGGGGGGGGGGGGGGCTGAGGGGTGGCTGATGCATCAAATTGTGGGGACAAGACGGATGGTCCTCTTCCGTATACGGTCTCCTCGCATTTACCCCCCGAGGGAGCTCCCCTTTTAATAAATTTATTTTCCAGCAAAATAATAATAATAATGAAATATTATCTTAATCCTTAGGCTTAGCTCACTTTTTCCTTTCTTGCTTGTATGGGCTTAGCTCACCCTTTTTTAATTCTTACCCATAATGATAGATGTGGTAAACTAGCATATTCTTTATTTTTAATTATCGCATTTAAATCCTTGAATTTAGTTAAAATTTTGCTTGAATTTTTTTAAATAAAAAACTGAGCAACCTAACAACCAGAGAAAAAATGGGGGCCACCACGTGGGGTGGAGGGGAAGATCGTGATTGTTGGATAGTGGGGACCACAGATACCACCAAATTTTGGATGCCAGCAGCAACCCAACACCGTACCCTTCCCGTAAAATCCCATTACCCATCTTTTGCTGTTCCATTTGCTCAATTAGACATCAGTCATTGTAATTCATTGAGGGATATATGGGTGGAGTCTCCGGCATGACTTTAAAAGTAATTTTATGATGTATAAAATAAAATTCTGTCTTTAATTTTGAAAGTATCTTCTTGATTTAACAGGCACAGATTTAAATATATATTTTGTATTTTGTATTACCTCCTGTTTTAAATATAAGATTTCAGTTTACTTTATATTTTTAATTTATAATTTTTTTAAAAAATATTTCTATTAATTATAAGGTATTTCTACCTAAATATAGTTTCAATATATATAGTTGAATAAGAGTAATTTTAAAAAAATTAATACATATTTATTACAAACAGCTAATTTAATCAAATTTCTTAATATTTTTAAATTACTTGTTAAACTTCTATATTATAGAGCCGATAGTACTTTTAAGCGTTGACAAACAAGATGGTAAGATTTAACATGAAAAGGCATTAAGAAATGTATGCATGTAGTATTTTTTTTTTTTTTTTAACTTAAGATAAATTGACGACTGACGAGGCTTTTCCTCGGCTCAACTCAATTATTGAGAATGGTCTCCACCTCTCCTGGGGCCGGAATGATTGCCTGGTCGGTCTGTTATCGGGTTGAGTACTATTCACTTTCTCCAGCTCATTTGAATATGTTTTTATAAGTGCTTACGGACACATTTTAATTAAGTTAAGACAATTTTTTTTTCATATATTTATTTCATATTTTATAAAATATAATTAAAAAGATATTTATGTATCCTTTTAAACATGTCCCTATAACGGTTACTTTTGAACCGATGCAAATGCGTCCGCACTCTCTTAGAGCGAGCAAGGAGTAAGGAGTGGAGAAGGGAATGGGGGAAGATATGTGGAAGTATGGAGGGATTGAGGCAGATTTTGGTATGCGCCAACAAATGGTACCACCGCCGTATAAACAAAAGTGATAAATAAATCAAGGCGAGGGCACCCATGTGTGAATTGTGATAGGATTTCTCATATCCAATTATTCGCGCATCATCCCAATTATTAGCCTCTTTCTCTCGTACTCATCTGGTTTTAAATATAAAAATCTTATAATATAATTTACATTATAAAAAAGAATTTATATTTAAAACAGGAGGAGTATATATGTTTCCATGCAGTTTGAGTCACTTTTTTCAACCAAAAAAAAAAAACATTCTTTATTTTATTCATACGATGAGATAAACATGAAAAAAGATTTTTGTCTTATGAAATGTAAATACGATTACTTATAATTAAGCCAAATGAGTCTTAAGTACAACATGCTTTGTTTAAAGTAATGATCTTTTCCATATAATGTGCCTACCAAATTATAAACATTTTTAACTAATTAGAAAAGTTCTTCTTATTAATAACATAATTGTAATTTCAGAATTCTATAATAAATAACTAATTTTAACTATTTTTTAAATTATATAAAATTATTAATAAATGCTTGTAAATGTTTTTGAAAACCGCTCCAGCTTTGAAGAAATTCAGTCCAATTACATGCTGTTTTGGCTCCTAATTGTTAAAGTCTTGTTACCAATCTGATGTATAGTGGCAAATCACCTGCAGTAAGGATGCCTTCATCTTGGCAGTCCCTGTATCGTGCCAATTTAATATAATGTGAGTGAACTTGAAAAGAGATATAAAAACAAGGGATATTTAGAGCCAAAAAATTAATACTTTTAATAACAAAAAGTTTTATTTATTCATATCTATTTTCAGCAAACTCAGATGAGATCTCACCAGAACGAATATTCTGTACTGATTTTCTGATATTACTAAAAATACAACCTTTGCATTTCCCCGATTCTCCAATGCACGCTTATGGATCCTTTTTTCTGCCACAAAATAGTAATTTCATTGTATTGTTATCTTCTAAAATTTATTTTCCCAAAATATAATCATAAATTTATTTTAAAAAAAAAAGGCTAAACGATTCAAGTTAGAAGTAATTGAGTCTAAGATTAGCAATAATATCCTGATTTTTTTTTTAATGAACAGACAATTCAAACACGACTCTTTTAAAAATAATGAAACAGGAACGAAGCAGAACATTTATGATGGACTGTCCTTATTGTTTTTGTGTTGTGAGATTTTTTTAAAAAATGGTAGACATAATTTATGAGCAACGGGCATGTGAGTTGGTCAGTTTTGAACACGTAAAAAAAAAAAAAAGGGAATTGTTGAATTTAGAAACAATCCAAACAGAGCAATCTCTATCACTGTTGGCCAGAGCTTGTCATTTTTGACGCCTTAACTATTCAAGCCAAAAAACAGAAAACAAAAAAAACATAACCTTAATTATTTATGTGTACTTTCTCCGCTCAAGAGTTTCCACAGCAACTAACATCTTGTTTGGATCCACGTTGGCGGCACAAAGGCCAAAATTCTATCTGAGAGAAATAAAAACAAACACAAAAACAAAAATAAAACAAGCTCTAATCGGTCTTGAGGCGAAATGTACCACTCAAAAAGCACACTGATTTTTTTTTCCCTAAAAAAATCATTTACGATTTCTGATTATCACAAAATCTGAATTCATTCATCTGCATATCCCCCCCCCCTCAAGTGTAATTTTATTGACATTTTTCCCGTCGACCGTTATCTTTTCCCATGTTTACGACTCTAATTTACAAAGCAAAAGAACTACCTTTTCTTTTTATGTATAGTTATTCTCCTGTTAAAGGTACTCCATCCGTCGATTTTTATAAACAATAACTATTATTTTTTTCTTGTATCTAAATATAAACAATATTTACAAATTGTTTTAAATTTTTGTCCAAATTTTTTATTTTACTTTTATTAATTATTTATTTTAATACTTAATACCATCATCTATTTCCATCATACAATCTCTTTCTTTCATTATTTTCTTTATTATAATAATTCTTTTCTCTTCCTTATATTCTCTTCTTTCCATAAATAAAAGTATTTTAAAGATAGAACTTCTAATTTCTACTCATTTATTATTTTTAAGTAACTTTTTTATCTACGTGATGGAATCCAAGGCTGCTTATAAAAAAAGGACGGACGGAGTATCATATTTAAGAGTTGAGATACTGTCAATAAATGTGAGCATAGCTTTTAACAGGAATTTAAATATTAATTTGTTATGTTAGTTGATAACTACTACTCCTCCGATTCTCAATATAATACCCATTTTATAATATAATTTATACTATAAAATAGGTTTTATATTTAGAACTGAAGGGAGTACTTCTTTTGGTCTCGCAAAATTAATCAGAATGGCCTGGGCTCTGACTTATATAGACACATATTTTACAAATATTATCCAGCCAACTTTGCGTATTGATGAAAACAATTAGGTTGGGCTAACCTATTCGTACGTGGGCCGAAGAGTAATTTTGGATTATCACTGCCAATTCTCTCAGGCCCAACAAATTCCCGCGTCTCAGCTCTTGCCAAAAAAAATCTTTCGAAGTCGCGGAGGCTTCTATGCATACATGAACAACGCAGGAAAAACTAACGATTGTAGGCAAAAAGGAAGGAAGATTGGGTGATAGTGGGAAGCAACGTAGCAGAGAGACCATAAGTGTTGGAATTCTGAGATCATGTGGTCCCACCTTCCACTGGTTAAAAAGACTCATCCACTAATTAACACTCAAATGATGTGCTGCATTCACTTTCCGTCTGTACAGAAACTACGACAGTAAAATTAGAATAATAATGAACAGAAAAAGCAGGTCCAAGAAGGCGGAAATTATAAAGCGAGGGGCGAAAAAGTAGCAAAAGAAAGGATGGATCAAGTGGAAGATGAGTTGGAAGCTCCCAGCTTGAAGAAGGAAATGAGGGAGCTTATTGCGAAGGCAACGAAAGCCAGAAAGGCCACTGCAATGGAAGCACTCGCCTTCTCTGTGAAGTCGTCTTTGCCCCAGTTTGATTCCCAGTCCTTCACCCTCGTCACTGCGCTTGATGATGCCGATACCAACAGATACGCCACCACCTGTGTATTATACATATATTCGCACTTCAATAATAATCCATGACTTATTCTTTTCTTCAGCTAACATGCATCTTAATAAGGTGGGGGTGTGATATAACTTGCCTGATCCATGAGATAATCAAAATGAGAGCGGAGATTGGGATTGAAGAAGCTTTTGTTTTTAGCAGACACGAGTTGATACGCCTTCTCGCAAGCTTGAAATCCTGAGTATACACACCCTATCACATTCACTCCTAAACAATACCTGCCATCATCATTCATAAGTATATGATGATCATTCGTTAATATTACTCTCTTTAATTATATATATATATTTGCTTACACACGCAATGATCGATGTGATGAAGAGTATTATCGTACCTGTATTCCTTGTAGCGATAGAAGGAGTCACCAGCCCAACCTTGGCTCCTGTCCGTGGCCATTATCGAAGCAGAGACTAGACATAACACCACCTCGCTCATTCTCAACCCTAGCTCCGTCGTCCTCACCACCGTCGACGTCTCCCTCTTCAACGCTGCTGCAACCGTCTCCGCCGGAACTCCTTGCTGCTGATTCTGACTGTTATCCCACTGCACGTCCGGTGTGTTCTGAGCCGTGTGGTAGCGTGACCCTGGTGTGTCACCTGCAGCGTGATGCAGCTCCGACTGATGACCCCCACGAGACTCCCGCTTCATGCTTGCCATTTCACTGTTGCTAGTTCTTCGGACTTCAATTCAGGATCGTGAAGACATTAAAAGGAAAGGAGCAGAAAATTTAGTAAATAAATTACAAGCCAAAAGAGAAAGGGTGGGAAGAAGAAGAGAAGACCGTGTAAAAAAAGTCTAAGGCTTTAGTTACTTCCTCGTGTTTCTCAGCTGTAGGGCCATGCCAAGTCGATTTGAGTGTTCCAGTGGGGCCAACAAAGGCTCTGGTCAATGAGCTTGCAACCTAATAAGCCAATCATGCAGATTTCTTTATGTGGCATGCTTTTATTGGTGGAGAGCCTGCGGGGACAAAATCAAATTGTGCATCTTATATAAGATCCCACCAAACTACTAAAGTAAATCACATCTAGATATCCTAAGCATCTTCTTTATGCTCGTCATACTTTCACTTAAAACGATCACTCAGCGTCAGCATCACATAAAGATAGGCTTTGAATTAGAAAGCTTTCCCCTCACAATCTATGCATAATGCGTTGTCTTTTAGGTCGAAATTCTGGTGTCTCCATAATAATGTACAGACAAGATAATGGGATCAATACAAATACAAAGAAAATCGAAGTGGGGCCTCGCAAAAAGCTTAAACAGGATTCATTGATGAAAGAATTATCAATTTTCTTTCAGACTAAGCTTTCCCAACATTGGTCTGCTGGAAAGTGGAAAAATCTCTGCTTTAATAACGTCTTTTCTTTCATATGTATAAAGAATATTGGGGAAAGCAACCTACTGATGCCAAATAATGGAGCCTTTGCCCTTTATCTCCCAATACTTCTTTTTTATATCTTTCTTATTGCACCATTGTTTAATTTGGTCTTTTATACAGGAATCTGAGTACTACAAGCAACAATAGCTACTTTCTCCCCAACTTTTGAAGTAAGAAATCGTCTACGTCATCAACACGCTCAAACATTCGGAAAATTATGAAAATGTGAGAGCTTCGTCGTTTTAGCTCGTGTATTTCTTGCTTTGCATCAAGCATGAACACTATTCTGGGAGGAAAAAAACACAAAGAAAACATCAACACTAGAAGCGAAGGACGTAACCACACGAAACAAGAACAGAGGCGGCGACAAAATTGAACATAAAACTATGATAAATTTCAACTTTGTTTACGTCTTCGTCAGAAAAAGAAAGGGGCTTGCACATATGCGGTTCTAATCAATGTTCGTTGCACCCAAAATAGGAAAAGGACTGGCATCAGTTATTTTTGTAGTTCTCTTCCTGCATGAAAAGAAATCCTTTTATTATAACAGGACCACTTAGTGAGGAATTTCAGGGTTTACAATCCTTCTCACTCTCATTCCTCGTATTTACAGTTTGGCAATGTTAGCTGGTGTATATTTAAGGAATCAAATTGAGACCCAACTTATGCATCATGTATGTTATTTTGCTGAGTGGCGAATAAGTACGGTCCTCCAGTTACATGAACGAGTGGATCACTTCCCAAATTGGAAGGACGGTTTTCTACTTGATCACTGGTATGTTAATATTATGCTTCATATTATGCCCAGATTCTCTAGACAGTTACAGTCTATTTTAGTTTGGGTTGGCAACACGATTGTTAGTCTTGGTCATAAAACGAACATTTATGCGTTGGGATGTTGGATTAATTTTTGAAAGCTACTTGAGAAGTAATGCAGCTTGTCACATAGTTGACCCAGCAGGCTTCTATCTAACTATGTCCATGGTGGCTGTGAACCAGCTTTGATAAATTTTACAAGCTTAACCCAAGTTATTAGTCCATCCACAAATCATCCTTCAAAATATCCAGGAAATGTTGGAATGGTTTAGGACATCTAATATATTCTTAGTTCTTCTTGAGCCAAAAATATATATTCTCAGTTTCTTGAGCCAAAAAATATATATTCTTAGTTCTTCAGCTCTGTATCGAGTTTGCAGCCTCAATTTCAATAGGTCATCCTGATCCCCAAAAAAAAAAAAATTTGGGGCAAACCCGCCCATTTGCCTTAAATAATAAAAAAGGTTGTGATTTTAACTGTAACAAAAATACAATCTAATTAGAGAAATGAGAGGATTTGAAAGAGCCTTTAAAATTGAACTGTCAATGGTGATATACCAAATACAATCTAGTGAGAGTTTTGTTTCATTAGGTGTATGTGCTTATAAGTATTTACGATAAGAAAATGCGAGCAAGGCCATAATGATCTGAGGCTTAACACCTGTTATTTATAATGAGTGTATTATGTACAGAGAGCCTGTAGGCTATATCCATGTAAGCTAATCTAAACGGGAACCACATGCTTAATTAGTTATTTACAGCTAATATACAGTTGTTATAAAGATTTATCATTTTATTTCTACTTATAAGTCACTTATATTCAATGCCCACAGATCAAGAAATACATTAAATTGATAATTTTCTTTTGAGATTTGCTCTTATTAAAAGAAGGGTATTAAAAACTATGTTTTATATTTTCTTTTACCTATTCAAGTCAACAGGGGTAAAAATGAAAAAAAAATTAATAATTATCCTACAACTTATATTTAGCAACAAATTTAAAAATTTTTTCAATACAAGTGATTTATAAATAGAAACAGAGTGATATTCTACTTCTAAAACAACTATGGGCTGGCTGGGCTTAGAACACTGGGCCGGGTAACTGTTTAACAAATCTGATCAGAAGTAATTGGGAGTTATCCAGTACAGCAAATAACAGCAACAGCAAGACCTGTTATAATTAGTCCATGGTATCCAATTGATTTTCCTCCTTTAATTCCGGTCGAATTGCCAAAGAAGCGTACGAAGCACTAATCTCATAAATTGAGATCTTAAATCTTTAATAATTGTTTCACTTGGTTTGATTTTAAATTTCCTAGTATTGAGTTCTAAGTTAAAATCATCATGCATGCATAACTATTATGGATAGAATTTCTGTTTCGATCTGTTGGTCAAGATAACAATACATGATAAATCGATAATATCAAACTGATTCATCAATACCCTCTTTTCTGCTTTTGATTAGAAGGGAAAAGTTAATTACAATTTGGGGGGTTCAAACATTTATATACTGCAGATGCGGGCTGCTTATAAGTGGGAATGCTTTTGATGTCAACAAAACGGACTTCACCAGGCGCAAAAGACAGGTCCCTGTGCCTGAAATATCAAAGAAGCAGAAAGGTAAGCAAGTTGTGAAAGGATCTAACCTCATTTATACTCTGAAGAGTAGAATGATAGAGTAAATGGTTTATCAGTAGTACAGTCAATTACCTTCGCAAGTCAAGTCCTATCAAACCGGCCTGAAGAACTGTCAAATTGTCAGAATCTGGGGAAACTATAACCACAGTATCGCCCGAGTACTGAGTTTCGAGAATTGACATGAGTTGTGTTACTCGGACAAAAACATCACTAACACTCTCATTTGGAGTTCCATCATCCACAGGAGGGGGTTTGCTGTTTGGAGAAATACTATCTAATGCATATATCTGTGGAATTCAAACGAAACTGAAGTTTAGTAGATCACACATAACACCGTTATCCTATAAATTCCTCTAAGCTATGATAGATAATGGTAGTAAGGAAATTGATCTAACAGAATATGCATCCAAAGCAGCTAAACAGCCCAGGGAGAAATCTTACTTCTGACATGGATTCCAAGTTTTTGCCTTCATAAGCACCCAACCCACGGGCATCCAGAAAGCTGTATTCTGGGACTATAAAACTGAAATGAAAGAAATCGACAAGGACGCTCAGCTCTTGTGCAGCACAGCCTGGCTCTAAGATGGAATGGCACATTTTAAGTGAAAAATATTGCTCTGGATGTCTTAAAAGTTGAAACCATGTAAGCAACATTTCAAACGATCCTCTCTGTTAGTGTGACTGTGTCAATGAAAAAAGCAGATAAATTTGTCACTGGAAAACAACATAGGACAAAACGTTGGTGCAATGTTCATGAATATTAATAACAAATGTTAAGTGGATATTACTTATCGCGAGAATCAGTCTTGTCCTCCAAAGTATAGTCGCTCTAAGTGATCTGACATATCAATTAACTTCTAATAGTAGGATCAGAAGCAGTCCATTCAACAAAAGGTGAAAATAAAAATAAAAAACAGATTTGAGACTCAAGAATTTTAAAAGATCAGTGTATACTCGTCGTACCAATGGCAATCAAGTTCAAAAGTTAATTGCTACACCTTCTACTAACTCCATTGACGGATGCAATAATTTCTGCAGTCTGATAAGCCCTTTGGGTAATGGCAGGCCAAATCCAGCAACTCTTATCACAAGCCCCCATTTCCTTAAGATCAAAAGCAGCTTTCACCGCCTGCTTCTTCCCTCTTTCAGATAAGCCACTATCGACAGAAGTCTTGGCCACCGGGTTCGTGTTAATCACTCCCATGGTTTCGAATTGAGACTCTCCAGCCCTCACCAGAAAATACCTTCCCAAACCACCAACTACTGTCATTAGCAAACTTAGAATCGAATAACAATTATGGAGTTTCATAGAATTACCGATTAGTGAGACGAAATGGGGGCATCTGGAAGAGACCGCGAGCGACGGCGACTGGCTCCGCAATGGGTAGCGAAGTTGTAAAGGGCGAAATGAAGTTGAAGGAAAGGGTAAGTGCAGTGAGGAGGTGGCGGCGACGAAGGTGGATGTGGTTGGTGAAATCGTGGAGAGCGATCGCCGGAACCGGAGGGGAGGGTAGTGACACATGACGGAAAATTTGGTGAGTGTCGCCGGGTGCCAACATGATCATCTCTCGCTGACACGGTGCGGTCAGACGTATGGCCTGGCCGGCGTTATCCCCTTATCATCAGACGTCAGTAACTCATAATTGTTTTTTTCAGAATTACAATAAGATTTTAAAAAAAATATAGAACAAAACAAATTCAAAAAATTATCATTCTCTATTATAAAGCTTATCATTATTCATTATATACTGCTTAAATTTTTATTAGGGCTTTGTAGTAATTATTTTTTTTAGACTTAATTATAATTGTCCTTAATTTTTTTTTGTAATTTTTTCCTACTTGTAAATTTTTTATTTTATATCACTGATTAATATAATAAAAATATTTATTTGAGTGAAGCTACAAATAGCAAAATTTCATAGCAATTAGCTCTACGTATAGTTGTGTCTATTAATATTCCTATTTACTTACGTCACCATTTAAATTAAGAAACCATTATCAATTTATATAATTTACAACACATTGATTATCCGCAAACCGTAAGCAACGACTCAGTTTTTAAATTTCGGAGTACAAAACACAAATATAAAATCGCAAATATAAATTATAATCATAATATTCTATTTAAGCATTGCAATTCCAAAAATAAAACAATATACTCCTCCGGTCCTTAATATAAGACTCATTTAACTAATTTGATTAGATTAAGGAAGTTAGGTAAGTTAGTTAATTATAAGAAATATGACACATTTTTCCTAAAACACCACAATCATCTTTCTTAATACCTCATCTCCCTCTTGATAAATATAAAATAATAAAGTAGAGAGAAAAATAGGAGAATGAACTGATAATTTGCATTAACTGAATGGGCCTTTTAAATAGGCAAATTACATGATAAATAAATAATAAAAATAATAACCCCACCTCCTAAAAATTAGCCACGACTCACAAAATGGGATAATGGAATCTGATCCTAAATGCATGGAATGTGGGTAGCAAAAATCACGCAACAAATAATCCATAACGGGAAAATGGGATAGTGGGAATAATAGGCAATCAGGTGAATAATTCAAAGAAATTAAAATAAATTAATTTCCAACAATCCCTCCCTTAAACTAATGTTTGCAAACATTTAGTTTAAGAGTACCAGGATTTAAGCTAAGCCCTCCCATGAACAAAATCTTCCATAGAACACACTCCAAGCATCTTTCTAAGCTTCATGAACAGATCTTGCTTGAGTGGTTTAGTAAAAATGTCAGCCACTTGATCTTCACTTTTGCAGAATACCAAATCAATAGTATCATTATTGCAAAGGTCACGCAGAAAATGATATCTCACGTCAATATGCTTGCTTCTTCCATGCAATGTTGGATTTTTGGAAATTTTAATTGCTGAAACATTGTCGCAATAAATAGTCGTTGGACCCTTTTCTTGATTCTGAATTGTTTCAATCAATCTTCTTAGCCATATAGCTTGACACGAGCAAGCTGCTGCAGCAACAAATTCAGCTTCTGTAGTCGACAAAGTAACAATTGGTTGTTTCTTTGAAGACCAAGAAATAGCTCCATCACTCATCATAAAAACAAAGCCTGATGTACTTTTTCTGTCATCCAGGTCTCCAGCATAATCACTGTCAGAAAAGCCATGAAACTTTTCTTTTGGGTTAGCCTTATAAAAAATACCAAAATCAATGGTGCAAAATCCTTTTTGCAGCTAAGAGATGATTCTCAGTTGGATTTTCCATATAACGACTTATAAGACTAACACCATGCATGATGTCAGGCCTTGTAGAAGTGAGATACATTAAACTTCCAACCATTTGCTTGAAGAAAGTAGCATTAACTTTCTTTCCCCCATCATCTTTCACCAACTTTAAGCCACATTCTACTGGAGTACGAACGGGATTGCAATCCCTCATTCTGAACCTGTCCAAAATCTCAAGAACATACTTCTTTTGTGAAATAAAAATCCCACTTGATGATTGCATAACTTCAATGCCAAGAAAATAACGCATTAAGCCCAAATCAGACATCTCAAATTCTTTCATCATGTTCTCCTTAAAGGCGTCAATCATGCCTATATCATTTCCAGTATAAATTAAATCATCAACGTAAAGAGACACAATAAGAATTTTTCCATCTTTTCCAAATTTTGTAAAGAGAGTATGTTCATGAGAGCATTTTTGAAAACCTTCTTTAGAAAAATAGGCATTTATACGACTATACCAAGCTTGTGGTGCTTGTTTTAGGCCATACAAAGCCTTTTTCAGTTTACATACCTTTTCTTCACTCCCTTTCTTCACATATCCAAGTGGCTGATCAACATAGACTTCTTCCTGCAACTCACCATGTAAAAATGCAGATTTCACATCTAATTGATAAACTTGCCAAGAATTTTGGGCAGCCATGGCTAACACTAAACGAACAGTGTCAAGCCTAGCAACTGGAGCAAAAACTTCTTTATAGTCAATCCCAAATTCTTGCCTGTAGCCTTTTACAACAAGGCGTGCTTTGTATTTGTCAACTCCACCATCTTTGTTCAGCTTTGTTTTGTAAACCCATTTGACTCCAATGGATTTCTGCCCCTTCGGGAGCTCCACCAATTCCCATGTATTATTTTTCTCTATAGATTTGATCTCCTCATCCATGGCAATTTGCCATTTTTTATCTTTATCAGCTTCTTCGAATGTGAGGGGATCACAATCTGCAAACAAAGCAAGGTGAGCTACTGAATCATCATTAGATAAGTCATCTCCACTTACATAATCCACCATCCAAGATGGTCTCTTTCGAGCTCGACTAGCACGAGATTCTTCCACTATTATAGTGGTTGGTGCTTCTGCACCATTTGGAGAATGTTCAAGAGTAGCAACAGTGGTATTTTCTAGGTGTGGCACTTGCTCCTTTTCATCTTCAATTTCATCATCACAATTAATTTGAGAAGGCTGTTGCCCATTCCAATTCCAAGTACTATCTTCATCAAAAATAACATCCCTGCTAATCACAATCTTATTGGTTAGGGGATTAAATAATTTATAAGCTTTAGATTGTTCACTTACACCCAGAAAAACACATTTTTCACTTTTATCATCAAGCTTCTTTCTTTTCTCATCTGGAACATGAGCATAGGCAATGCAACCAAAAATTCTGAAGTGGTCAACAGCTGGCTTTCGTCTACTCCAAGCCTCTTGTGGAGTCATGTTTTGAACAGAAAAAGTAGGACATCTATTCAATACATGAATGCTCCAATTTACTGCTTCTGGCCAGAAATTCTTTGGAACTTTTCCCTTTGCTAGCAAGCTTCTCACCATGTTGAGGATGGTTCTATTCTTCCTCTCTGATACACCATTTTGTTGTGGTGTATAAGCAGCTGTAAGCTCTCTTCGAATACCAAATTGCTCACAAAAATTTGCAAATTCTTTTGAGCAATATTCTCCACCGCGATCTGTACGGAGAGTTTTAATCATCTTTCCTGCTTCCTTTTCAATTTGAGCTTTAAAGCTTTTAAATATATTAAAAGCTTCATTTTTCTCCTGCAAAAAATAAACCCAAGTTTTTCTAGTAAAATCATCAATAAATGTGATAAAATATTTTTTACCACCATTAGAAGTTGGTGTTATTGGCCCACAGATGTCAGAATGAATTAGCTCCAAGACTTCTTTTGCTCTCCATGACTTTCCTTGAGGAAACTGAGAACGTGGTTGTTTGCCAACAACACACTCTTCACAAACTTGGGAAGGAGCAGAAATTTGAGGAAGACCAGTGACCATATTTTTCTGATGAAGAGTTTTCAATCCACCAAAGTTCAAGTGGCCATAACGGTAATGCCAAAGCCACGAAACATCCTTCTCATTAGCCAACAAGCAAGACTGAACACTCATTATCTTCAGAGGGAATAACCTGTTTGAAGTCATTGGAATAACAGCAATAGCACCTCGTGAAGGATCATATATCTCACAAGTCCTATTTTGAAAAGTAATAGTATACCCTTTTTCTTGCAATTGACCACCACTCAACAAATTACTTTTCAGATCAGGAACATAATAGACATCAGATATGGTTTCAACAAAACCATTTTTAGTTTTTATTTTAATATTGCCTTTTCCCAACACCTTAACAGTAGAACAATCGCCAAAACTTACAGTGGAATTGAAACCTTCATCTAAAGAAGAAAATAAAGATTTTCTTCCACACATGTGGTTGCTGCAGCCAGTATCCACATACCAAATATTTGAATGAGGTGGCTCGGTAACTTGATATGCCATCAACAAGGTATCTTCGGCCTTCTGTTTTGCAAAGTTTGACTTCTCTCCTTTTTCCTTGTTAGGCAACCTAGCATAACACTCAGAACGATAATGGCCAAATTTATGACATCTAAAGCATTCTACCTTAGATTTATCAAATTTCTGATCTCGTTCTTCGTGTCTGCCTTGAAATTCATCCTCCTCCCCTTTGTCATCTCTATGGCCTCGGTCTCCTCTTCCTCTACCGCGACCTCTTCCTCTTCCTCGACCTTGACCTCTACCTCTACCTCTACCTCTTCCTCTAGAGTTTGAGGAATGAGTAATAGTGGAAGCTTTTAAAGCTTGTGCCTCTGATGTTGAACTGCGGTTCATTTTCTGCTCATGAACTAACAAGGAGCTCTCTAATTCATCAAGTGAGAGTGCATCTATATCTTTCGACTCTTCAATAGAGCAAACAACATAATCAAATTTGGAAGTTAATGAACGCAATATTTTTTCAACAATAGTAACATCTTGCATTTTTTCACCATATAAACGCATCTTGTTACTTATCTCCAAAGTCCTGCCACAATAACTAGTGACAGATTCACCATCCTTCATCTGCAGAGTTTCAAAATCTCTTCTCAAGGCTTGAAGCTGGACACGCTTCACTCTGGTAGTGCCTTCATATTTCCTCTTCATGGAATCCCATATATCCTTGGAAGTATCTTTGCAAAGAATAGTTTCCAGGATGGGACGATCAATTGCTTGAAACAAATAGTTCTTTGCCTTCAAGTCCTTCAGCTTCAATGCCTCAATTTCTAATGGTTGTGCATTCGTAGGTGCTGCTACACCCTTCTCTACAACCTGCCAATACTCC